TCTGTGCAAAGTTAATTTCCTTTCTTGGGAAAGGGATTTTGTGGGATTCTCCAAACAAACTCTTTGGGGGTGGGAGGGACAAAGAGAAAAATAGTGGAATAAGACATTTAAGCAATAAAAAACATATCATATGACCTTATTGATAATTCCTAATTGCCAATAGGAGAGAAAAGCAGTCAGCATGAATAAGATGAACTAGAAAAGAAGTTAACTCTGGATAAATGAATAAAACTAACATGTTCATAAAGATGTGATGAAAGAATATGGTGATATGCAAATCTCAACCACATTGTAAAATCATCGAATGGGATGGTTTATTAATCAATAAAAAACGCAAAGCGTCTTATATACACTACATAGAGCAAACCTGATTGACTCAGCATCATCTTTTAAAGCTTGCAAACACTCAGAATTAGAAGTTTCTCCTTTTTTTCCTTGTGCTTGCGTCAAAACACAATTGGCGACTGAACTTCCATTGTTTTTAGATGACACATCCTGCTCCTCTTCAGTTATCTCTTCAATGACCAACTCTGTTGAGTAAAGAGAATTCAAATTTTCTATGAGTTCAGAATAAAGCAAGTTAGCAGGTTAACACAAGCACAACACCGACTGATCAAACCAAGCCAATAAACAAGACATGACATATTGACAATCTAATTAATAATCTATTACAAATCTTTATATGGGGAAGGTACCTACTTTTTGAAGCATGCCCACTCCTTCCTTGTTTCTCCAACCTTTCACTAACATCCCTGCAACATTTTCTTATGCGTGTCAAACCTTGAACATTCAAGAATAGCCCAAACCTCGATGCTTCAATGTTTTAGTTTTGATTATTGGAAGGGATTAGGGGAAAAATAGGCTGGATGATATGGTATGCAGTAAATTTCTTATATAAAAAGCTTGCAATACCTTAGGACATCTTCAATAGTTTCATCAGCAGGAGAAATTTCATGTGCCTTAGTTAAGTCAGACATTGCATCCTGATATACAACAAATAATTATTTTAATCATAATAATAATCATAAAAATGATTGTGGTGATGGTGTCTTTGATAATACGTCAAAAGTGAGTAGGGCAGAATGTGATAGCGAAAAGAACACCTCAGAAAAACACTCACTTCTAGATGCCCTAGTTCTTTATATGCTTGACCCCTCCTGTAAAAGGCTTTAACATTGTCTGCATCATATCCCAAAACCTGCATATTTGTATTCAAGAGTGTGACCCATATAAAAAATGAGATATATCCACATAAAGAAGCCCTTTAACTCAAATGGATCTATGAAAGAAATAGCAACCACAAATAAACACATGCATGAAAGCGGAACTGGGGGTGTTAATCAGTCATACCTCAGTACCTTCCCTTATGCACTCATCATAATGTCCAGTCTTTAAGTGACACGACATCAAATTCAGAGAACATGCCATTTTAAGATTTCTCCCTTTAGACTCAGGAACCCCTTTCAAATTTTTCTTTGCCTGAAAATATGAATTTATAACATGAAAATTTGATCAGGTCTAGATTAAAATGTGAAAGCAGCGCAAACAAGCAACCAAAACACGATTTCTTGACTTACAAGCGTATATTTCTGTGAGGCCTCACTGAACTTTCCTTGGTTGTGAAGTTCATTTCCCTAGAATTGTACATATGACTTCATTAATACTTGTCACTGCCACCGTGAGAATTTTATAGTATAAAGACACAGTGAATGCACAGTTAATAAAAAGCTAGTTATAACATCAACTACTCAACCCATGTCCGGGTGCAAAATTATCTAGAAGGATAACCTAGCTATAAAGTAAATGATGTTATGAGTGTTAGCAATTACATAGTGTATACTTTGCTAAAAAAATCCCACCTAGTCCCTGCTTGAACACAATTCTTCCTTTGGCTGACTACATGTTACTTATTTATATACTACAATAAATAATTAAGACTAGTATAAATATTATTAGGGAAAAGATAAACTTTATTGACAATCAACCTTAAAATCTCAAATTGCACCTCAATTTGGGATGGATGCAGTATTTGTTAAAAAAGGGTAGCCAGTGCAGGAAGGCATTCCCAAAAGGCGAGGGTCTCAGGAAGGGCCCCACCACAATAGTGTAAGGGGCAAGACTCCCCCTATCAAATCTGACAAGAGGCCACCCCCTAGACTTGAACCGTGACCTCTCTGCAACACAACAACACCTTAACTGGTGCACCAAGACTCCCCTTCGGATGCAGTATTTGTTACGTAATAAATCATTATTTTAGCTTCCCTGGTTGTATCAGATCAAATCATACATTTAATCTATAATTTCAGTCCTTTTAAGCCCACTGACATGGGCTCTGAGTATTACTACTGAACAATTAGAAAGAATGTTAGTCACTAGTATGAAACACTTCATCCCGTGAAAAAATTACCTGCTTCTTCAGCATCTGAGCAGCATTGAATTCATAAGTAACCTGTGCATCTAGATGGGAACGCATAGAAGCTATTTCTTCAGGTGATGCATTGGCCACCTTCTCGCCAATACTGGCAATTTCCTCTGGCCTGGTGTGTTTCAACTGCTCTGCAGCATTCCTCAAGTCCTCAGGCCTCAAATTTTTCATGCTTTCAGAAGCCATTCTGATCAGATCAGGATTAGACATCATCTGCGGTATAAGCAATTGTAAGAACATAACTTTATATGCAACATAGATGTTATAATACTTAATACATAGACATAATTAATCTCAAACGAGTAAAAAACGCATAAATGAAATAATCCTAAGATCAGCAAAAGAATAAGGCGTAATGAGAAGCATAAACAGGGAACCTGCTGCTGAATCCGAGCCAACTCAGCGGGTGACATGCGACTCATTTGTTCTTGAGCGATTTTGAACAGCTCCGGATCCATCATCCCGTTCATCACTTGTCAAGAAGAATGCTTAATTAATATCGATGTTAGAATCACAACATTAAGAAGAACAAGGCAAGTAAAAAGTGAGCAATCCTATCTGCAATTTGTACTAATTTGTGATCGATCTCTCTGGGGATGACGATGTAGTTGAGAAAATAAAGAAATGAAGAAAATAATTGATTTTTTTAATCTGTAAATAATTTATTACGGAGTAATACTCTTAAATTCTTTGGACCGCCTACCTCAAGAGAAAGGGAATAATAATGTAGTAATGTTGACCAGCTTTGTGCAATATTTTTTCGTACGATTAATTAGATCATTTTCATTGATTTTTAAAAGGAAAAAAATCAATTTTTTCATTTACATTTTACATATGATTAAAATAAATATTATTTATAAAATGTGACTAGTGATTAAAGTATTAATGAAATTATAATAATTTATGTTTAAATTTTATATTTAAATTACCATGACATCATATTGTAGTAAGACATATTTGTGTATGTAAATTTATACTCCGTAATGTTTATGTAAATGGGCATAAATGAGTCAACGAAAACCGCACGCACTTCGTCAAAGAGGAAGGCGGAGAAAACAACCCCTAAATTTAGGGGAGATGACCTCTGCTTGCTTTGTCTATGCCAAAACTTCGATCGGCACTTCAAATATTTCTTATGCAATTACTATCATCACTTTTTCTTTGTAATAACCAAATTATTTAAAAAATTATTAATATCTTAATTATTTTCAAACTCAGCTTTTTTTCTTTATTATTCTCTGCCACATTTTATGGTGTATGTCAATGTAATACGAAGTACTCCCTCCGTCCCCTTTTAAATGTCCCGTTTTACCATATTGGGATGTCCCTATTTAATTGTCTCATACCTTATTTGGTAAACTTTGTGTGGCTCAAAATCATTCTTACTTTATTCTTACTTTATCAATTAATATCAACCACACAAACTCACTTTTCTTAAAATTCGTGCCACCATCTCCCGTCCCATTTAAAAGGGGACGGAGGGAGTATTATTTCGCCCTAGGAGGCTAGCTAGGATTCTGTGCAAAGGTCTAATAGTTAAAATAGTTTTAACTCATTATTCATACGCGCGTCTTTAATTTGCATGTTAAAATACTCAAAATTAACCATAAAAAATACTAAAAATTATAAATATTGAGGAGTTCTGTGAGGCTTTTAATAAGAAAAAAACAGCAAAATTCTGGTTAGATCAAAACTTTTGTCCCTGAATATTAAGATCTTTGTTAAATAAATCATTTTCACCTTACCATAAATAAATTAACCAAAAGTATTTTCACTGTGTTGTGAAAGTCAGGTAACTATGTGGAATATGTTTTGCTTCGTTGCAAGGTATACTCTAAATAATTAATGCAAAAATAAATGCAGTATGATAACATTTCGTATTTTATGTTTTATTTTCAGATTAAAAATATATATAAGCTTTTATTAAGATGATATACTTAGGTCCTATCTCATACTTTTCATTTTAAGCTTCTCTATCAACCCAGTTCCTCGATTGCTTATGTAGTTATGTTTACAAGGTTTGTTCGTTTTTCTATCAATGGAGTTTTCCTCACATGCACATAAAATATGGGTGTATCAGGGTGTATGGATTTTGTACTTTAACTGTTTTCCTCAATGAATATTAGAACAAGGTTTGTTTTTCAGTGACTTAGAGCATCTCCATTCATGATCTCTAATAATCAATTTTTTCTATGATTCTTACCTTTTAAATATTTTTATATAATTAATGTTTAAATAATCTCAATATTCGTTTATGACTCTCAACCATCATCTTCAAATAATCCGATTTTTTCGTTCCTGCATTAACTTCTATTACATACACTTTTTAAATAATCTTAAAATAATCTGGATTCATATTTTGATCCCGGATTATTGTAGCAAATAATCTCACGAAATAATTTATGTCTCTCAATGATGCTCCTTTAAAAAATCTTCCATGTCACTTACTTAATCTCTTAATGATCCTACCAATGGGGATGCCCTTAGATGCTTACGGTCCCTCTTATTCGGTTAATTTACATACAAAATTTCCGGCTGAATTTAACTAATACGTAGTACTTTAAAAGGAAAATACCTTATTGATTAATGATATTGATGTGGAGCGAATTCTGGCTGAGGGACCATGGTCTTTTGACAATAACCTGTTAATACTTAGTAAGCCGGAACCTTTGTAAAACCCAGCTGATGTACCATTAACGCATGAATGCTTTTGGGTGCAAGCATTTAATCTGCCAGCATCTTTTTTTTTTTTACGGAAAAGATGGCTGTTATCATTGGTAATGCAGTAGGCAGGTTTGTTTTAGCAGACCAGAACAATTTCAAGGGTAGATATCTTGAATTTATGAGGATCCGTGTACAATTGGACGTGAGCAAACCTCTGAAACGTCGGGTAAAGCTAAGGAACGGAGCAGAATCTGTCTGGGCAGAACTGAAATATGAAAGGCTGCCTCACTTCTGTTTCATCTGCGGAAAGATGGATCACGTTGATAGACTCTGCCCGGAATGGTTTCAGGGATTTACGGCTGAGCAGGAGAAGCGGTTTGGGTCTTGGCTAAGGGTGGGGGTAGGAAAAAGAAGACCAGATTGATGCACATGGAGGGAGTTTTGAAGAAATCCATCCAAAAAACGGATTAGAGGCGGGTCCTGGCAGTCAGGCCCGCCTAGGATTATGAGCTGCATCAGTTGGAACTGCCGAGGGCTTGGCAACCCTTTGGCAGTTCAGGTCCTAGTGGATATGATCCACTTGAAGCGGCCAAAGTTGGTGTTCTTAATGGAGACTTTCTGCAACAGTTCCAAGATTGAGATGGTACGCAAGAAGACTGGTATGCACGCTGGATTTGGGGTGGATAGCATAGGGCATCGGGGAGGCATTGCTTTACTTTGGGAAGATGGGGTACATGTTGATGTTCGGGACTCATCCCCAAATTTTATTGATGCTTGGGTCAGGATGGAAGATGAGAAGCCCACTTGGCGTTTTACCGGCTTTTACGGATTTTCGGAAAGGCATAGAAGAAGGGAGTCTTGGGAGTTATTGAGGTTACTTAGTTCTCGATCACAACTCCCTTGGTTAGTTATGGGGGATTTTAACGATATTCTTTTCGCTTCTGAAAAGAAGGGGAGGGTTCCTCATCCGCCGTGGCTTTTGAGGGGATTTAGAGATGCAGTGTATGGGAGTGGGCTTCATAATGTATCGTTTGAAGGCTATCAATTTACCTGGGAACGGTGGCGTGGTTCGCGAAATTGGGTGGAGGAAAAGTTGGATAGAATCTTGGCTTCGACAAGCTGGATGGAACGGTTTAGTGAGGCGGCAGCTCAATCCTTGGAAGGTTCACCCAGCGATCACATGGCTTTATACATTTGTCTATCTCCAGCAAGAGGTATAAATCGTCGGAGGAGGTTCAAGTTTGAGAATGTCTGGCTCTGGGAAGAGGATTGTCGTGATGTGGTGATTCGGGGGTGGCAGTTGGGTCGTGAGGGTGGTGTCATGGGGCAGATCTCAACTTGTGCTAAGGCTGTGGACATCTGGGAAAAAATAAATATGGGAAATATAGTCGACGGATTGCTTTCTGCAAACGGAGATTGGAGTTTTTAAGGGGAAGGTTTGATTCCTGGGGCATGGCTGAATTTAGCCGAGTTCGTAGTGAGTATTTGGATTTAATAACTAAAGAAAATCTTTTCTGGCAACAACGTGCTAAAGAGTTTTGGTTACGCGATGGAGATTCCAATTCTCGCTTTTTCCATAATGCTGTTAAGCAGCGTCGTAGGAGAAATAAAATTAAAGGCTTACGACGTGAGAATGGCATTTGGGAGTGTGACAGAGGGGAGATGGCTAATATCATTGGTGATTATTTCTCTAAATTTTTTTCCTCCATGCAGGGATCACGTGAAGCAGCTTGGGATGGTATTTCACGACGTTTGGAAGAGCATCATAATAATGACTTATTGCGGCCGATACGGAGTGAAGAGGTTAAAGAAGCTTTATTTGCCATGTATCCCGATAAATCCCCTGGACCAAACGGCATGAGTCCGGGTTTTTTTCAGCATTTTTGGGAATCCATTGGTCCAGATATTGTAGGGTTTTGCAAGACAGTGTTCTCGACGGGCAAGCTCCGAGATGGTATTAATCATACACACATTGTTCTTATTCCCAGGAAGGATCAACCGGATAATTTGAGTGACTGGAGGCCTATTGCCCTTTGCAATGTGGTGTACAAGGTCTTTGCTAAGTTACTGGCAAATCGTATGAAAATCTTGCTTAATATTTGTGTGTCAGAGCAACAAAGTGCATTCATCCCAGGCAGGTCCATTGTTGATAACATCATGATAGCTTTTGAATCACAACATTTTCTGAAACGTAAACGTCAAGGGAAGATAGGTTATGCGGCTTTGAAGCTCGACATGACCAAAGCTTACGACCGGGTTGAATGGTCTTTTGTGGAAGGGATGCTTCGCCATATTGGCTTTGCAGATAAATGGATCCAACTGGTAATGGAGTGTGTGAGTTCTGTTACTTAGGACATGTTTACTTCACCGAGTATTAAACGGTGCTTATTAAGACCCGTGTTAATAAGCGGCGCATAAAATAAACAATGTTGTAAGACCGTGTTTACTTCAAACGGTTTAAAACACCGTTTAACATTAAAATGTCCAAAATAACCATATACATATATATACACAAATATTCATGAACACAAGTATATAATATAATATGTGTACCCATACCCCCTAATTAACCCCTTACCCACCCTACCTTACCCTGACCCCAATCAGCCCCTACCCCTACCCCACCCCTACCCTACCTACGACCCTACCCCTACCCGACCCCACCCTACACTTACCCCACCCTACCCGTCCCCACTTCGACCCTACCCCCGACCCCATAGACCCCTACCCCCATAGGCCCTTACCACATCGACCCCACCCTGACCCCACCTTACCCTACCTTACCCCAACCCCGCCCTACCCCTACCCTACCTTACCCCGATTACCACTACCCTACCTACCCGATCCAACCCTACCCCTACCCTACCTACCTGCTGCAACCCTACCCGACCCCACCCCTGCCGCAACCCTACCCCGACCCCACCGCACCTACCCTGCGCCTAGCGCCTCTATCACATCCGCCCGACCCCACCACCCTGGTATATGGTGGGGTAAGGGGTGGGGTCAGGGTGGGGTGGGGTAGTGGGGTGACTGGGGTCGGGTAGTGGTGAGGGTGGGTCGGGTAGGTAAGGTAGGGGTGGGGTAGTGGGGTGACTGGGGTCGGGTAGTGGTGAGGGTGGGTCGGGTAGGTAAGGTAGGGGTGGGGTTGGGTTGGTAGGGTGTGTTCGGGTAGGTAGGGGGGGTTGAGGCGGGGTAGGGGGGTAGAGTCAGGGTAGTAGGATGGGGTCGGATAGGGTAGGGGTAGGGTGGGGTTGGGTAGGTGGGTAAGGGGCGGGGTAGGTAGGGTAGGGGTAGGTGTGTGGTCGGGTAGGTAAGGTAGGGGTGGGGTCAGGTAGGTAAGGTAGTGTGGGGTCGGGTAGGGGTAGGATGGTGTAGGGTTGGGTTGGGTCAGGGTAGGGGTAAGGTGGGGTCGGGTAGGTGGGGTAAGGGTAGGTGGGGGGTCAGTTAGGTAGGGTAGGGTGGGGTCGGGTAATGGGGTAGGGTTGGATCAGGGTATGGTAGGGGTAAAGTGGGGTCGGGTAGGTACGTGTAGGGTGGGGTCGGATAGGTAAGGTAGGGGTAGGGGTAGGGGTGGGGTCGGGGTAGGGGTAGGGTAGGTGGGGTAAGGTGGGGGTCAGTTTGATAGGGTAGGGGTGGGGTAGGTAGGGTAGGGTGGGGTCAGGGTCGGGTGGGTAGGGTAGGGTGGGGTCGTGGTAGGGGTAGGGTAGGTGGGGTTGGGGTCGAGGTGGGGTCAGGTAGGTAGGTGGGGTAGGGGTAACAATAGGGTAAGGGCAAAGGGCAAATTCGGAAACTGAAAAAGCATAAAGTGTCGCTTAATTAATACATGGGGGGTGGTATGCTTAATAAGCGGCACTTTAAGCACCTCTTTCGGTTAGTAAGCGGCTTTTTAAGCAGCGTGCGTGTTTATTTCATCTGTCTTACTAACCTAACTGTGACTTTAGCAGTGAAGTAAACACCTCCTTACTCTATTCCATTCGATAATAGAGAGATTGGGCCCATTTATCCTACGAGAGGGTTGAGACAAGGGGATCCCCTTTCACCTTATCTCTTTATATTGGTGGTCGAGGGCCTCAGTGCTCTACTTCGAAAGAAAGAACAGTTGGGCCAAATTCACGGAGTGTCGGTGGCTAGGGAGCTCTGCGGATTTCACATCTTTTATTTGCCGGTGATAGCTTGCTCTTCTTTCAGGCAAATCATGGAGAGGCGTTTGCTATTAAAGAGTCTTTGGAGGAGTATGAGCTCGCTTCAGGGCAGGTTATTAATTTCCATAAGTCTAAATTATTTTTTAGTGCTAATGTATCTGTGGAGTATAGAATTGGCTTGGCCGAGATGCTTAGGGTTAACATGGCTGGGTCCGAAGAAAAATATTTAGGCTTGCCAGCCCTCGTGGGGAAAGGGAAGAAGGAAATCCTGAGTTACTTAAAGCAAAGGGTGGTAAATCGATTAAATGGTTGGAATAATAAATTTCTTTCCAGGGCCGGAAGGGAAATTCTTTTGAAAACTGTAATCCAGGCTATACCTTCATACGCTATGAATGTCTTTCTTTTGCCAAATGAGTTGTGTAGGGAGTTAGAGGTGCTCATGAATGGTTACTGGTGGAATGGCAGAAATAGTAAGGGGATAAGATGGCGTGATTGGGGATGGTTGAGCAGACCAAAAAAAGTGGGAGGATTGGGTTTTCGACATCTAAGAGATTTTAATATCTCAATGCTGGCTAAGCAAGCATGGAGATTATTTTCAGAACCGAATTCATTGGTCAGCAAAATTTTTAGAGCACGGTATTACCCTTCAGGTAGTTTTTTGACAGCATGTTTGGGGAATAATCCATCTTTTATATGGAGAAGCATTTTTGAAGCCCAGAATGTGATACGAGAGGGATATAGATGGCAAGTGGGGAACGACAAATCTATCAAAATTTGGGAGGATCCGTGGTTGCCCGATGGAGCAAATCCGAAGGTCTCTTCTGAGGTTTGTATAGGACTGGATAAGTCCTTAGTTGAAAGTCTGATTTCTCACAGTGAGAAGGCTTGGGATGATGACATTTTAGCAGATCTGTTTAATGTAAGAGACAAAGCTTTGATCAAAAGTATTCCGCTTAGCGTGCGTGAGGTGCCAGATAGAAAGGTGTGGCGTTGGGAGGCAAGCGGCAGGTTTTCTGTCCGTAGTTGTTATCGTCGATTAGCTGGAGATATTCAGGTCGAAGGGTGGGTTGGCTGGACGGAGATGTGGAATTGGAGGCTGCCGCCAAAAAGTAAATCTTTTTTTTGTCAACTTTGTTCGGATTGTTTGCCCACCACGAAGAATTTGTGCAGCCGAATGGTGAATTGCCAGGAGGTTTGTGGGCTTTGTGGAAAGGATGATGAGTCGGTGTTACATCTTTTTGTCCGCTGTCCGGTGGCGGTCGAAGGTTGGAAAGCAATTGGGTGGGATGTCAATGGTGCGGCAGGTGGAAGCTTTTTGCACTGGCTGGAGCTGATTTTCCAAGCCAAGAAGAAATCTGAGTTAGAGAAAGTTGTTTGGGGCTACTGGGGCTTATGGGAGGAAAGAAACAGGCGGGTTTGGCAAAACAAAACTTTGAATGCTTCCCAGGTTATGTTTAGTGCAAGTTGCTTTGTTGATGGTTGGCTATTTGCGCAGCAGAAGGACCAGGCCAAGGTGACAGCTTTAGGAGCTCAGGTTTGGCGATTACCAAAGCCTGGATGGTGTAAAATGAATGTGGATGCAGCGAGGGACCATACAGGCAGCTGGTTCGGGTGGGTTGTTCGCAACAGCAGCGGGGATTTCGTTGGGGGAGGCATTAAAAGTGGGCGGGGCAGCTGCTCTTCTCTTGAAGCTGAATTGCTAAGCATTCGGGAGGCCTTGCGTTGGATTAAAGACTAGAGATGGGACTTCGTGGAGGTGGAATCTGATGCTTTGCTTGCTATTTCTGAAATTCAAAACGGTTCCACTTTGTCTGCGATTGGTATTATAGCTGAGGATATTAGACTTATTAGTAAAGATTTTGCTAATATTTTTTTCTCTTTTGTTAAACGATCAGCGAACATAGTGGCTCATGAGTTGGCTAGAGCAGCTAGTTCTATGTCTGATTGTCAGTTTTGGATGGATATTCCCCCTTCTTGTATTGTTGAAGCTTTGTCCTTTGATCTGATTAATGCATGTTGAGTTGATTTCCAAAAAAAAAAATTATACGGAGTACTTATTTGTCATGTGTGTATCGAGCATAAATTAACTGGTAATGAAGTAGTTAATTTTTTGTTGTTCGTACATTTCATTCACTTTATAATACAAAATATGATTTGTCATTTATATGGGTGTTTTACTTGGATAATACTAATTTTGAACCAATTACCCAAAAAGTGATCACTTTTAAAAAGGGGCAAAAAAGTGATCAAGAAGGTCATATATGTGCAATTAGAAAACATGATGTAACTCCAAAAATTTACTGTCACTACGTGCTCGTTTTTTGTAACTACAGCCACCACCCATGTCACTACAACCACCGTCCGTGTCATTGTAGCTACCGCCCATGTCACTACAACCATCGCCCGTGTCACTATAGCCACCGCCCGTGTCACTGTAGCCACCACTCGTGTCACTGTAGCCACCGCCCGTGTCACTGTAGCCACCGCCCCTGTTACTGTAGCCACCGCCCCTGTCACTGTAGTCACCGCCCCTGTCACTGAATGTCACTGCCATCATCATCATGTCACTATTGCCGCCTGTCACAACCGCCATCACCGCCAATTACCACCGCCGGCCACAATGGCACCGGTCAAAGTGACACAGGCATGGCTAGTGGTGACTTCCCTCCAACTCGTAGCCCTCTTTCAGCATATCCCAACCCCCAGCCCCTCTGCCACCGCTGGCCCCTACTACCCCAGCCACCACCGTCACTCCCACCCCTGCTGTCAACTGCAATCAGCCGCCACATGCTG